ACATTCTCACACACACTCTCAGTCCCTCTCTCTCACACACACACACACACACACACACACACACACACACACACACATACTCACCCCACAGGCACTCTCCCACATTACCATGTATCTTGTTCTTTCTTAGTCCTTATTACCTGAAATGCTCTTATTTACTTATTTTTTAACCTGTGAAGTATCTTCTCCCCCAGTCAGAATGTGAGCAGGGACCTCACCCACAACCCCATCGCCTGGTACAGTGACTGACCTTGACTCTGCGCTCGACAAATGTGAACTGAGTGAAGCAATGAATGTGTGAACACAATTATCCTGTGTAGAGTGCTTCTGGAAGACACACTCAGAGCTCTGTCCCTGTAGCCTAGGGTCATCTCCCTCTATGTGGCTGGAATAGGGAAAGCTTCCACCCCCGCAAACCCTTCCATCCCAGGCTACTGAAGGTGGGGCCCATAAGGGGGTGACATAAGGGATCGACACGCAGAGCCAGGCCTTCAGTCAGGGTCCAATTTTCCTGATATTTCTCGATCCTGTCTGCTTTCCCAGTCACTGCCCCATTGTTTTCCTTCCGCTTCGGCGCCTTCTTGTTTAGGTTTCTGCCTTTCCCAGCAGCTTCAACATTCCTTCACACCCTCTTGCCTCATCTCCTGACCTTGAAGTGGGCATGGAGTCTTGGAGGTTCTTACTAAGAGTTGATCACTCAACAGCAAGGGGGACGGGCTCACCTCTGCCGCCCACTCCTCCCTGCCAGTTGTGGGTCACTTTCGTCCACTTGGGGAGTATAAAATGGTGCCTGTGAGCACCGGACCGTCAGCGCAGAAAGCGATTCGTGTGTCAGGGTGCCTGCAGCACGCACACATCTGGACACACTGGTGAAGCTTCTTAGGATTTGGGGGCCTCAGATTTTTTTTTTGAAGGAGAAATTCACATAACATAAAATTAACTGTTTTAAAAAAGTGTACAATTCAGTGGCATTTAGTACACTTACAATGTTGTTACAACCACCACCTCTCTCTAGTTCCAAACAATTTCCTTCATCCTAAAAGGAAATTCCATATCCATTAAGCAGTCACTCCCATTTCTCCCTCAGAGTCGGAATCGACTAGACAGCAACAGGTTTTTGGCTCCAGCCCCTAATCCGTTGCCATAGAGTTGATTCTGACCCATAGTGACCCTATAGAACAGAAAAGAACTGCTCCATAGGGTTTCCTAGGCTGTAAATCTTTATGGAAGCAGACTGCCATATCTTTCTCCCATAGAGTGGCTGGTGGGTTCAAACTGCCGAGTTTTCAGTTAGCAGCTGAGCACTTAACCACTGCACCACCAGGGCTCCTTCTCCAGCCCCTAGAAACCACCAATCTGCATTCTGTCTCTATGGATTGAATTAGTCTGGATATTTCATACAAACGGAATCATACAATCTATGACTTTTTGTCTGGATTCTTTCACTTAGCATAATGTTCACGAAGTTCATCATCCATGTTGTAGCATGTATCAGTACTTCATTCCTTTTTATGGCTGAATAATATTCCATTGTATGTATATACCATTTGTTTAGCCATTTATCCTTTGATGGACATTTGGGTTATTTTCACCTACAGGCTATTGTGAATTATGTTTCTATGAACATGTATGTATTTGTATTTAAGTGCCTGTTTTTAATTCTTTTGAGTATATACCTAGAGTGGATCATATAGTAATTCTGGGTCATATAGTTAATTCTATGTTTAACTTTTCGAGGAACCACCAAACTGTTTTCCACAATGGCTATACCATTTTATATTCCCACCAGCAATGTACTAGAGTCCGCTGACTTTTTAAAAGATCAAACTCAGATCTAGTTCACTGTCAGTTACACAGCAAATCGGGTTACCAAAGACCAAAATGGAACTAAAATAACATGAAGAAGCCTAAATGTGAGATTCAACCAGAAGCTGCTGCAATTCGGCTTGAACAACCCGGTCTGTCAGCAGATACACAACTTATAATAGGTATCTCCCTTCTGGACATGGCCCCAAAGGAGCTGATGAATGGCATTTAATCTTAAATTAAGCAAGAGTAAAATTCCCTCATGATTGTCAAATTTTATCTCTAGCCTAGCTCTAATCTTTCCGCCTGCCCGTGTGTGCTTTCTAACTTTCCACACGAGTAGGGAAAAAATCAAAGAAAATAATCAAGTGACACACTGAATATTGTATAGAAAACCACCAACTGTTAAGAGTTTGAAAGTCATCTCATCAAAATAAAAAAAGGAGGGGTATACCTTACTTCAAAAGAGTAAGAGGGAGTTTTCTATTTCTAGTCAAATATATTATTATTCCTTGGTAGTAAAGATAATAAACTTTTTATTATATAGGTGTGTGTGTGCATATAAATTCTCCTTCTTTCTGTTTATCCTTTGTAACCAAGAAGTAAACATACTTAGGAAAAAATCTTATCGTGTTTGTTTACATCACAAACCATTAATTTAAAAGATTTATAATTATCAACAATTCATTACTATTTAATAGTAATAATGCTGTATTTCATTAAAGCAACCCTAATTACATTTCTGTCAAATCTCTTTTCAAGCTCTAAAATGATATGGCCCCTAGATATTTATTTGCAGAAGTAAAATGGCTTTTAAAGACATTCCATTCAACAAGTATTTAAGTGCCTATTTTCTACAGGAAACCTGGTGGCACAGTAGTTAAGAGCTATGGCTGCTAACCAAAAGGTCGGCAGTTTGAGTCCACCAGCTGCTCCTTGGAAACCCTATGGACGGTTCTACTCTGTCCTACAGGGTCTCTATGAGTCAGAATTGACTTGAAGGCAATGAATTTTACCTTATGCTGTGGGAATGCTGAAGTGCCAAGAAAAAAAGAGAAGAGTCTCGCCTTCAGAAATGTCAAGTGTCACGGAGGGGATACACACAATCCTAGCAGTACACCAACCCATCATCTCAAATTAAAACTGATATTTAAATTTCTCTGAAACTGTTTTCTTTACGAGTTGGATAACCCGTGTCCTAAATCTAGGCACTTTTATAAATGCCACCTTTAAATGCTTGACTTAAGGTTTCATTGATATAGAAAGTTGCTTTAGTACTTGATTAAATGTCAACCTAATGTCCCCCTTTGATGTGCTGGGATGGAACTTGAAAGAAAACAAAAACCAGAAAACTAAAAAGAGAAAAGTAGCTTTTAAGGACATTATTACAACTGATTATAAACACTGCACATATCCGAGGCATATGACCATGGCTAAAAAGGGACACTTGTCTTTAATAAAACCAAAAACCAAATCAGTTGCTGGTGAGCCGATTCCGACTCATAGGACCCTGTAGGACAGAGCAGGCTGTAAACTTTAGGGGAGCAGACTTCCACATCATCTTTCTCCCATGGAGCAGCTGGTGGGTTCGAAACGCCGACCTTTTGGTTAGCAGCCAAGCACTTTAACCACTGCCCACCAAGGTTACTGCTTGTCTTTAATACAAAGGCAAAGAACTGTCTGGCACTCCCATGCCCACAGAGTCACCACTTTCCACATTCTTCGGCAAGAAAATTGGTAGCGACCCCTTTTGCCTTTTTGAACAGCTTTCTTTCTACTTCTTCATACCCAAATTAAATGACCCCAGTTAGAATTCCAAGGAAGACATTTGATTCATACAAATTGTGTTCACACAGCAATGTGACTAGAAATGGGGACTTTCAATCTGGGTACAAGTTATAGTCATATTAGCAGGAATTAATGGCCTGGTTCCTTTCCCCTCTCTCTAGCCACACTTCTTAGAGCTAGATATAAATAAAAACATTGATGCAATTCATACACTGCACATGGGGGCCAAACGGATCACACTTTCAAAGATTTGAATTTTGGTTAAAAAAAAAAAAAAAGAGTTTTGAAATAATCAAAATTGGTATATTGATCTAATATTTAACCTTAAATGTTCAATAAGTTTTTACTTCTTTACAATACATTTTACAAAATGTTCACTAGTTTAGATTTGCAACAGCTATTATCTGAAGTTAAAAATAAAAAAATTCAAGTAGACTTTACATATCATAGAGGGACAAACTTTTTTTTTTAATTCAGGTCATCACTTCCTCATTCAAGAAAAATACTTATTTGCATATGTCTCTAAGAATCTATTAAGCTAGCCTCTCTCTTCAATTAGCTCATACCAAAAAAAAAAATTCAATTTCCTAGAATTATGGGCCTGCATTCCTTTTTGTTTTTTTTTAATTTTAGCCATTTACTTTAAAAATCAGTCACTGCATTTTTCAAAAGATAAGTAGCAAATGAATCAAAATCACGGAGAAGTAAGTCTATATCATAATTACCTTTTGCCTGGTCGAAAATCCTCACCTTCAGGCATTTCTGCCCTTTAAAAGCTTAGCACAGCTCACCAGTCCAAACAATGGTCTCTTCTCCACTCTAAGGTCGAATATTAGGATGGGAAAAAAACCCAGGAGTGAAGTTCTTTCCTACTTGGAAAAAAGCACTCCTCTTTTACTCAGAAAGTAGGTGTTTACAAACTTGCAAAGCACCTGAGTGCCTGCCTTGAATGAAGCTAAGAGCCGGCTTATTATGACTGTCCCCTTCTAAAAATAAATAGGTCACCTCTTACTGCCGGTACCATGATAGGCAGCTGAGGGCAGGCACTGCCCAGCTGCCAAGCATTTCTCTCCAGTTGTGTGAGGTGTCACCACCCAGCTATTAACTTTTATTGGGATGACTTCACCCAGGTCTGCCCTTTCTCTTTCCTTTTTTTCCCCCGGCATGACATGCACCCACCAAAGGGCAGCGTTGCCACGGAGAGCTTGAAACTTCACCCTGGGCTATCAAATCTCCTTCTAGTCACAGGATGGAGTTGGAGATCTGAGAGCAAAACTGGCTGTAGCTGTGATAGCTGAGGGGCTTGTCTGTTCTGAGAACTCTTAGCCACTCAGCAAAATGATCCCTTACTCTGAAAAATAAAAAAAATCAACAATGGTATTTTGAAAGAGATTGTTTTGCAAGAAGTTCTTCCCTCGGGCCATCTAGATTTCTCAACTCAGATTAACTGTGCACATGCATATGAGTTGATGTGTTTGCTTGGGCAAAATGGATTCTCCCCAGGACTTCCTCTGTCATCAGGGAGCAGCCTGACGTTGGCAAGTAGCCAGGCTGTGAATCTGAGATGTTTTTAGAGGCTGGTTCACCACAGTACAGGAGTGCCAGTCACGAGGAACTCACAATTGCTACAACTTTTAAGAGTAGGACAAAAATCACTTCAACTCTTCTTGCTTTGAGAAAGTTCAGGAGAAATATTACTGAGATTCTTCTAGGAAAAAGCATTGAGAGCTTTGGATCAAAACTTGAAACCATTTTTTCCCCGCGATTGGGAACGTTAGGTAAGACAGAAAGCAAGATCTGATTATTAAGAAATAATTTACTTTTAAAAATGTATATGCTCCCAATAGTCAAAAGGTAGAAACAATCTAAATGTCCATCAACAGATGAACAGATAAACAGAATGTGGTATATACATACAATGGAACATTAATCACTCAGCCATAAAGAGTAATGAAGTCTTGATAAATGCCACAACATGGATGAACCTAGAAAACATTATATTGAGTAAAATAAGTCAGTCACAATAGGACAAATACCGGATGATCCCACTTACAGGCAACAGGCAAATGTAAAATAGAGACCAAAGCTTATTAGTGGCTACCAGGAGTCGGAGGGAGGGGGAAAGGGAAGCCACTGCTTAGGGGGCCCTAAGTGTCTGTTAATGGGGGTAGAGTCATTTAGAAAAGGATACTGGTGATGGTTGCACAACAGTATGAACGTAATCAATGTCACTGAATTGTATATATAAAAATTGTTACACTGACAAATGTTTTGTTATACATATTTTTACCCCAATAAAAAAAAAGTAAGTTACGGGGATTCTGGGAAGGTGGCATCGTAAACATTGTTCCAATCCTCCCCCACAAATACCACAAGAAATACGAAGGAAACGGCTTGGCTTTGAGAGACTCTGAATTGCGAAGCAGAGGAAATCGGCGGCGAGCGGCAAATAGGCAAGAATCAACGATCAACAAACGAATCACATATGGTGGAAAAATTGCTTCTCCCACCATCTCAGCCCCTCCCCCCAGTCACACGGGCCACTGGCTGCTGTGAACTGGGGAAGTGGCCCCAGAAAGGAGCCTGCTTCCCTAACTACCACAGCCCCTGCCTGTACAAAGAGACGGGACCTCAAGCTTCTGCTCTAAAATCAACAAGGCAGATCTCTACAGGAGGCCGTTTGGAGTGTGCCAACACTGAACCCCGCCACCCACCCAGACACTGTCAGTTGCAAGCCTACATGAATTGCTACAGAAAGCCCATGCAGTGGAGCCTGCTCCCATAGTAAACACTCTGCCTGCCTCCTTGTGCACCCCATAGCTCAGGCCTCTGAAACCAACAGGATAGATCTCCCTGAGGATCAACCTGGGTCTGTCTGCTTCCCCTTCCAGGGGACTGCTGACTAACGTTGCTGTGTGCTAGGAAGCAGGCATGCTGAGTGGAGGCTACACCCACAGACAACATACTACAGGGTCGGCTCTGAGAACAACAAGGCAGAGCTCCCTGGGGGTCTGTTCAGAGTACGACAACCCCTCCCACAACCGCTGGACTGATACAAACTCCTACAGAAGTTTCCGTACAGAGGTGTGGAGACTGCTCCCCCAACTACCACAGGGTCACTGGGGTTCTGTAACCCCTCCTCCTCCCGAGCAGAGAAAGGTTGGCCTGGCCTTCCCCTGAATGCCAGCTAAGCTATAAGCAGCCCCCTCGGAGCAGGTAAGGAAGCCTTGGGCAAAACCAGAGGCAACACCCAGTCCTGAAGGGGGCTCATTGCGTATGGATTTTCTGAATAAAAATGTAGTTGCAGAAACAGAGAAGGGAAGGGAGTAATAACCAGAGAGGACTGCACCCCCTGATGGACAGACTGATTAGTATGTGACATCTCGCCTGAGTGGCAGTGCCTGCTGGTGGACAGACTGACCACGGCATGTTCTCTGGTGTGTTTGGGAGAGATTGAAAGTTGAAATCTGAGATCTGGAACTTTCAAATCCTAACTAAACCAGAGAGGGAGAAGGAGCTATCACAGAGAGGGAGAGAAAATGGTAAGCAAAGGCTCAAGGCTCTCCCGCCTAAGAGCTTTTTGCAGAAAATAGTACAGACAAAAACACAAAATACTGGGGAAAACCGAGAAACTGAACACTCTCAAAAATTCCAATGCCCCAACAAAAAAATCACAAGACATATGAACAATGGAGAAGTAATGACCCATTCAAATGAACATCATAAAGGGAGTGAAAGTGCATCAAGGGATGACCAAGTAATGAAAAAAAATGGTAGAATATAATACGAAAACATTAAACATAATTAAAAACTAAGGGAAAACACAGCAAAAGAGCTAAAAGAAATAAAACAATGCATGAACAAAATAAGGGTCTAAAAAAGAGATATTACAACTGAAAGGGACAATAACTGAAATGAGAAACACAACAGAAGGACTTACTGACAGATTTAATCAGGCAGAAAAAAGAATTAGATAATTAGAGGATAAGATAGTTAAAATTACAGACAATGAAGAGCGACAAGAATGGAGGCTCAAGAAGGCTGAGCACAGTTTAACGGAATTATGGGACAACAATAAGAGACCTAGTCTAATCATCATGGGAATTCCAGAAGATGAGAGAAAGAAAGGGACAGAAAGAATATTTGAAGAAATAAGGACAGAAAATTTCCCCAATCCAAATCTAAGAAGCTCAAAAAACCCCCAGCAGGATAAACCCAAAGAGATCTACACCAAGACACATCACAGTTAGGCTCTCAAAATAGTAAACATAAAAACAGAATCCTGAAAGCAGTGAGAGAAAAGCAAATAGTCACATACAAAGGATCCCCAATAAGATTAAATGCCAAGTTTTCCTCAGAAACATTGGAGGCCAGAAGGCAACGGAATGATGTATTTAAAGTGCTGAAAGAAAAAAAAAGTCAACCAAGAATACTATGCCCAGTGAAATTATCCTTTAAGAATGAGGATAAAATTGGAACATTCTCAGACAAACCGAAGCTACGAGAGTTAATATCCAGCAAACTAGCCCTACAAAAAATACTAACGGGGGTTCTGTAGATAGAAGGGAAAAGACACTAGAAAGTAATTCAAAACTATACATAAAAAGAAAGATCTCTAATAAACAGAAATGCAAATCAAAAACCAAACCAAACACATTGCCATTGAGTTGATTCCAACTCATAGTGATCTAACAGGACATAGTATAACTGCCCCATAGAGTTTTCTAAGGCTGTAATCTTTACAAAGCAGACTGCCACATCTTTCTCCCACAGAACAGCTGGTGGGTTTAACTGCTGACCTTTTGGTTAGCAGCCCAGCACTTAACCATTGTGCCACCAGGGCTCCTTGGACAAGTATAAGGGCTACTAATAAGGTAGTCATGCTTGATTAACTCTAAATGTTTTGTCCTTCATGTTTTTTTAATAACAAATATATAAAAAGCAAGGACAAAATTTTGTTACAGGGCATATGAAATATAAAGACATAATTAGTGGTAACAACAAAGGTGGGGGGGAGAGGAATGGTGTATAGAATTTCTTGTATGTTACTGAAGTAAAGTTGGTATCATCTTACCCTAGAATGTTATTAAGACAAACTGTTAAATGTAATATTCATGGAAATCACTAAAAAAATGCATAAAAAACATACACAAAAGGAAAGGAGAAGGGAACCAAAAAGACTTATTACAATAAACCAACAAAACACAAAAGCAGTAGGAAAGGACAAAGACAAAGAAGGTTTAAGACACACAAAAAACAAATAACAAAATGGCAGAATTATATCACCTCTTATCAGTAATTACAGTGAATGTAAATGGACTAAATGCTCCAATCAAAGGGCAGAGAGTGGCACAATAGATTAAAAAAAAAAAAAAAAAACCATGATCCAACTATATGCTGTTTATGAGGGACACATGTGAAACCCAAGGACACAAACAGATAGAAAGTGAAAGGATGAAAAAAATATTCCATGCTAATAATAACCAAAAGAAAGCTGGTTTGGCAATCTTATTATCACATGAAGTAGACTTTAAGACAAAATCTGTTAGAAGAGATAAAGACTGACATTATATAGTGATAAAAGGGTCAATTAATCAAGAAGATTAATAATCATAAATATGTATACACCCAACTTTGGGGCACCTGAATGTATAAAGCAACCACTGATAGAACCGAAGGGAAAAACAGTACTACAGTAATGGTTGAAGACTTCAATATACCACTTTCAATATTGCCCAGAACATCTAGAAAGATCAACAAGGAAAGCGAGGACTTGAATGACACTATAAACCAACTAGACTTAAAAACATATATAGAACACTCCACCCAAAAACAGCACAACATACATTCTATTCCAGTGCACATGGATCATCCTCCAGGATAGACCACATGTTAGGTCACAAAGCAAGTACTGAGAAATTTTAAAAGGAATGAAATCATACAAAGTATCTTCTCTGACCCAATGGAGTGAAGCTAGAAATCAGTAACAGAGAAAAAAAACAAAAACAAAAAAAAACTGGAAAATACACAAACATATGGAAATTAAACAACACACTATTAAACTACCAATGGGTCAAGGAAGAAGTCAAAAGAGAAATCACAAATTTCCTAGAGTCAAATTAAAATGAAAGCACAACATACAAAACTTATGAGATGCAGTAACAGTAGTACACAGAGGGAAATTTATAGCAATAAATGCCTACATGAAGAAAGAAGAAAGATCTCAAATCCAGCCTCACCTGACAACTCCAGGAACTATAAAGACAAGAGTGAATCAAGCCTAAGCCTACCAGAAGAAAGGAAATAACAAAGATCAGAGCAGAAGTAAACAATATTGAAAACAGAAAAACAATAGAATAAGTAAAACCAGAATTTGGTTCTTTGAAAAGATCGATAAAACTGACAAAGTTTTAGCTAGACTGAACAAAGAAAATGTGCAAATAACTGAAATAAAAAATGAAAGAGAGGACATTACAACTGAGAAATAGAAATAAAGAGAATATGATAGAATATTATGAACAGCTGTACGGTAACAAACTGGATAACCTAGATGAAATGGACAAATTCTTAGAAGCACACAACCTACCCAAACTGACTTAAGAGGAAACAGAAAGTCTCAACAGAGTCATAACAAGTGAAGAGATTACATCAGTGATCAAAAACCTCCCAACAAAAAAAAAGTCCTGGTCCAGATGGCTTCACTGGGAAATTCTACCAAACATTTAGAGAAGAATTGACACCAATACTGTTTACACTCTTCCAAAAGATAGAGATGCAAGGAATGCTCCCTAACACACTCTACAAAGCAAACAGAACCCTGATACTCAAACTGGACAAAGACACCACAAGAAAATTACA